ATTTGAAATCTAAAAGCCCAGAGTTTAAATCTGCCAGCATGGGTTCAAAGTGCCTCAGTGTCGTATTTTGACGCTTGGAAAGATTGGTATCCCTTTTTGTTGACGCTTGGAAGCAAAAGTTTGCGACACCGCCTTCGGTGTCGCAAAGGTTTAGTGCGACAGTGAGAAACATGGAGAGACACCGCCACACCTGCGACAACCAGTGCGACGGCTTGTCGCAACAGATTTTGGAACCCCATTTTGGTCAGGTGTCACATGTGGTCGATTAGCTTAGTTGGTAGAGCGTGGTACTAATAACTTGGTCTCCCAAGTGGTAGATGCCAAGGTCATGGGTTCGAGCCCCATATGGACCATTCTTTTTTTTTTTTTTTTTTAGTTTCTTAAGAAAAAAAAACACTCTAACACAACATCTTAAACACTTTAGGAAACAAAAAAAAAAAAGGAAAGGGAGGGAAGGGGAAGGGGAAATGGAAAGGGAAAGGGAAAGGGAGTTTTAAAAGATTTATATATATTCATATATTCAGATTGATATTTTTAATTATCATAAGAACCTAATTAATATCACCATTTTGTTTCATAGCCGTATAACAAGAAAAAAAAAGGAAACAAAAAAAAAACAGTCAACAACTAGTAAGTAAGATTGACTGTAAATAATATAAACCCCTCCCCACCTAAAGGTAATAGAGGATTAGATTCAAGCTTGGCTGTTTTCAATGACTGTTGTTAATATCCTCATATTTTGGATGATTTCAAACCCCCCCCCCCCAACAAAAAAACAACAACAATAACAACAACAATAACAACAACAAAGTCAAAATTGAGAGACCAACATACACACACACACACACCATTAAATCTCAAAGAAACCACTCCAATCGAGTGTATGAGTGAACTGAGTATACTCTCGATGGTAGCTATCTACCCATCTATGATCAACTTTCATCTCCTCACCTGTCGCTTGTGACCCTCCCAGTTCATCATCCTCCGTTCCCAACCCAAGCACTGGTACACAAGTCGGTCGTCCGTGCGCACACTGAAACGGTAGGTGCGTAGACCCAAGTTGGTTGATCATATTCTTGCACTCCTCTCGCTCCAATCTGTCACCAAACATCACCGCACCTTCAGACCGCGTACAGAGAGGCTCACATAAGTCACCATGTTCTATTGATACGAATTAGAGTCCGAAATTTGGGACGTACCTCTACAAGCCTTGGAGTTGATGAGATTGACCAACATAGGCGGACAATTCGGTAATCGATCAAACCATCGATCTTCGTTCGACTCACTCCTTTCGACACCTTGTACATCTATGCCACCTTCTCCGAGGTCGTGCAAGTGCTCATCAAAGAAAGACGCACATCCTCTCAATACCTCTGCTAACAACCCATGATCACGTCCAAGCCTGACCGCCACCAGTTCAGGCACAGCCAAGACAGAGATCTGCTCCAATCCCAACTCGACCTCATCCTCATTGATGCTGACTCGATCCTCCGCGAGCTCATAAATGAATCCCCAGCGCCTGAAACGAGATTGCCATCTTCGAAACCTCTTCAACTCTTGAACACTCACGAGAATCGACACGCATCCGCCTGGTTCAGGTCCAGACCGCGACTGAGGGTCGTGGCTGTTGATGGTCTGAAGCACAAGACGATCAGGCTGGAGAATGACCTCAAGAAAGCTCTCCACCCGGATACGCTCATGAACTGCATGTTGGTCAAAGACAAGTAGCAACTGAGAGTCGAGCAGTAGGACGATGATAAACTTTGCGTCCGCCTGTCCGACTAAGCGAAACTGGTGCTTAGCCAGCGCGGAGAGGTCAACAGCCTGATAGGTCTCGTGCATTTTTTTTGGCGTCAGTCGAGCACGATCCTTGAGGCTGGGCGAGGCTCCTCGAATGAGACCGCACGCTGAATTGCCGATACGAGATAGAGGTCGTCGCAACTCATCGACCGCCTGCGACACTGACGACCCCTGAAGCGATGCCGGGACAGCTGAATCCCGAACACCAGCGACCGGCTGTTTCGATCGTACACCAAATACTGGACTTTGGTAATCTGCCAGTCCCCCGGTTATCCATCTGGGTGTCTCCCGCGCCCGTGGTTCGCTTTTGATGAATCTCAAACGACCGACTGATCGACGGGAGTGAGTGTAAGCAGTATCACTTTGACCTGAAAGCCCAGAGAAATTCGGGGCAGGAACTGAGAAGCCAGTGAGGGCATTGATTTCAAAGGTCTCTTTAGTCTTTGGATCCGTCCATACGCAAACGCTTCGATTACCAAAAGTTTCAGGTAACTCTATCTTGCGTTTCTGCCCTTTAGTCTCTTGGTGCTCATCGGACGGTGATCGTGGTTGATGAGTCGATGTATGCTTAGGACCAAAAGCACTAAAAACTGGACCGTATGCCCGGCTAGACACAGACGAAGTGGAATGTGGACGGAGTGGCTTGGTGGGTGATACGGGGTCGGTTCGATCAAACCTGGAGCGCTTTCTCGGACTCGGTAATTGTACCTCTGATCCGCCCGAGCGAGTTCGCTTCACGGCAAGCTGATCAGGATGATGAAATGCAGCTAGCGACTGGCACTTCTTGGGTTTTGTTCCGATGCCAAGCGTAGATTGATTTGCCTCACCCCCCTTTTCCATGACAAGGGCGTTCAGACTCGTTGTCGTTGTTGAAGGAAAGAATCGCGCACACAGACTACCACATATCTTCGACAGGCTTTCTTCAGTTCGGGGTGAGAGGTGGTGTTCCCAAAGTCCCAAGTAAGATGCGGATAGGGTCTTTTCATTGCGAGATGTAAAGAGGAGCAGATAGACCGGGTGATGTTTGACTGCAGAACCTGTGAGTTTGGAAGGAGATACAGATTTCCGGGGTGATTTGCGCATGTAAGAGGGATCGATATTGGGATCGGTGGGAACCTAAGTTGATCCAAATTGACAAAGAGATGAATAAAGCCCGAGCCACTAGTGGCCTAATTCGAGTTGAAAGGAGATTGAGATGGACATACGTTATGCAAATTAGTTGATCTTACCATCACCTCCTGCAAATGTTTGTGGATCGGACTGGTGGAGGGAATAATTTTACGATCCAGAACTGGGATCAACGCCCAAACAAATAAACATCGCACTCCCACATGAGTATCAATCCGGGCTTTAAAGATCGGGAGCAGAAGAGAAAGTAGGAATGTCATCGAATAAAAGCAGCATACAGATCAATTGACAAGATCTGTCCAGGTGACTGTGGTTTCCCAAAAAGCCTTGAACATTGAAGCATTCAAGTTCAAAGCTTTCAATCACATGAGCATCCTACAAGGCCGAGCAGAGCAGACGGATATGAGATTTGTTAAGACAGATAGCTTCTGATTTAGAACCATTTACCCGTATAAGCGTTTGACCAAATATTCTACCAAAAGTCATCATTGAATTGCCTGTCTGCTCAACAACTCATACAGTCTTCCTCATCAGTAATTGAAGACCTGGGGAAATCATGAAGAGGAGATCAAGATAGGATCAAGCTTGACCTTGGTAATTCGAATACACAAATCCTTGGAATCCGACCGAGTCTCAATGCGCAGTCCATCAGATGACTGTGGAGCGTTACGTAGGGCAAACGTTACATGCGGGTAACTGATGGCAAAATATTGAATGGATCGAACGCATTCATCCCAACCCCGTTTGAGTTGATGACTGTTCTGTCGATCATGGCCAGCTGATTGTGCGAAACGCACGGGCAACTGTAGCCAGGTAGACCAAAAGCCTGTTTAGCAACGTTATCTGGTGCAGCCTCTTGAAGATCGGTGGGCTGGATGAGAAGAATGTGTAACCGGCTCGGCTGACGTTATAGAATAAATTCCGGACCGTCACTGTCGTCCCTCGGCTATGTCTGCGAGAGGTCTTGGCTGGACCTGAAAACATGATCTCACCATCCTGTTCGTGTTGGGATGAAGCTTCAGTATAATGGGTCTCAAAACCGCACCACCGCGAGTGAAGTGCTGATTGGAAGACTAAACTTTGAAAACTGTCTGATGGGTTCCCGAAGATTCGGCAGTCCTTGAGCAGATATCAAGCAAGGAGACGTATGCGAGCGAGTCGAACACGGGACGCTGTGAATGATTGAGGATATGGCCTGATTTTATAGTTTGAGCTTCCGAGAGCGTTTCCGGAGCAGCTTGAGAACGTTTCTCGGAATTAGGTCAATTGTTTGTTATCCAGCTAAGAGGAAAACTGAAGACTTACGATAGCCATCTGTAGCAATCCTGTGAACCGACTGTCTGTTCAGTCCGATACCATCATCATCCACACGTACGAAACCGGATTCCTGGTCAATAGAGCAAGATATCAAGCGGCAGTGCTGATCGAGTGCAATTTGGACCAGACACTGGAGAACGTGGACGAGAGAAGGTAGGTTGACGCCTGATCGAAGAAGTGCGACAGTGTTGGGGTCCAATGCCTGGATAGGACGAGCAGATGAGGACGCGAGCGGCGGCGGATCGATGGGATGGACTGCTGGAGAGGGAGACGACATCCGATCTGGTGGCTAGGCTAGTGATCACTGAGCTTTGAAGAGTGCACGTTATCCTCGTTCACAGATGCTAGAGATGATAGCGGTTAGAAATGATATCCAAGTACTTGAATGTGCAGGGTCGAACTTGTGTCTTGCTATCCGTCGTGATGGATGGGCCGGATCAAGACTCGTGTTGAACCCGGATGGAAATCGGTCAGCTTAACTACATAAGTGTCCAGCCTGGATCTTCAAGTTCAACTTTGAGGGTTCCATACCACCTCTGACCTCACTTCCAACTCAGCAGGTCTTCGTCCAAGTTGGGCGGATTCCCTCGTGCCGGTTTCAGAATGTCATGATTTGGAGAAGTAGTATTTAGAAATCATTCAGTGAAATTTGACTCCGAGGGAGCACTGACTTATTATTAAGTCATAGTAAGTCCTATGAGGTACAAGCACTCTTTCTTGCATAGCCATCTGAGCCAGTTTGGTCTATGAAACCTGTGCTCAAAAGCTGAAGCCAGATACGCTTGATTCACCGAACAAGTGTCACTCAACTTTGGTCACCATCAGGCACAAGTGACCAAATTGAAAAATAAGAGGTATCTATTCCTTAATCGCCAACATGACGCTACAACGACTATATGAAATCGGAATTGCAATTGAGTAGTTTGATATGTAAATGTGATCGTGTTCAACTTTCAAGGCTTTTTTGCGTTTTTTGGGTAGGAGTAGTATTTAATATATATCCTATTATGATATGTAACTTGTTGTTCTAAGGAGTGTGAGAGATGTGTTTCTTTAAGGATATATATGTATGTATACCCAAGACAGGTTGATTAGGTGGGTTGATGAG